CCCTAAACCCCAACCTACCCTTAGACCCTAGACCCTAATCCCTAAACCCTAAACCCTAATCCCTAAACCCTAAGCCCTAATCCCTAAACCCTAAACCCTAGACCCTAAACCCTAAACCCTAAACCCTAATCCCTACGAAATCCTGGAACCCTCGGTGGCGCCAACAAAAATGGCTCTGGTATCAGAAATATAGGGGCTTTAAAGGGTATGTTATAGTATGATAATGATGAGTAAAGGGGGCTTGAAAGGAGTATATTATGGTATGATGATAATAAGGAAGCCCCTGAAATAGTATAGGTAATTCTTAAGACACTTATAGAAAGCAAAGCAGACAGCTGCCCCCAATACCCGAACACCTTAAACCCTCATAAACCCTGAAGCCTAAACGGCTAAACACCTAGACCTGATAAACCCCTAAACCCTAAACCCTAAACCCGAATCAAAGTTTCAGCAGCACCAGGACAGCCCACCCTCGTCGGCCGAGGTCGCAAGATGTTGGGTCTTGTTCGAAGCGTTTTGTCAACTAGCCGGTATTGCTTCTTGGAACCTTAGGGACGACATGAACCCTAAAAGGGTTTAAGGCTCATATACCTTATAGGGAATCATAGTATATGGGAATAGGGCCCCTGCTTTTAAGGCTCATTTGGTCCTCAAGGAAGGGTTCAAGTTCAGGGTTTAAGCTGAGTTGTTAGAGTTGTTCTTTCAGGGCTCTTAGGGTCGTGCACAGGTTCGCAGGGTTTGGGGCTTCTGGTGTGGAGGGGAACTCTGATGGTGATGGGCAGCAGTTCCTGTTCTCAGGGCTTGAAGAGATCTCATAAAGTTCAGGGTTTAGCTTACCTAGAGGCTCCATATATACTACCATTATGGAAGTTAGTCCCAAAAAACCATGCTTACTATGGCTTTAGGGACCTAGTTTCCGAATGGTAGTATATATGGAGCCTCTGGCTTATTTAGGGTTCAGGGTTGCGGTGATGGTTCCACCAGGCACGGCTCTCTTGGGCCTTCTTGGAGGCCTGCGTTACATTAAAGCCGAAAAGGGTCCGGAACCCCTTGAGGACTGAGAGCCCCTACCCCAAAGTACCAGGGTTTAGGGTTTAGGGTTTAAACCCTAAACCGTATAAACTCTAAACCCTAAACCCTACGTTTGGAAGTCCCAAAAATACCAGGGCCCTTACTAGTACCCTAAAAGTCTATGTCCCCGGTTTAGGGTTTCTTAAAGGCTGGGCTTAGGGTTAATACAGTCAAGAGTTTCTGCTTTGATATTCAAGTAGTTAGTTACCTAAACAGGTATTACTTTGAGGCTTAAGTACATTTTCATACATTTTCTGTATGGTTTCTGGGAATCTTAAGGATTACGGAGGACTCGCACAGCACTCACAGAGGTTTACGGGTTGGCGTTCTGCGCTGAAAGATGTAATAGGGTTTAGCGTTTAGGGTTAGGAAGAGTCTAAGGTTAGAAATATGGGCCCCTAATATGGGCCCTTGGGCCTGTTTAAGGACCCTTAAGGGTACAGATAGGGTATATAGGAGGTGTACAAGGATCCCAGGGTTAAGGGCCCATACTAGGGGCCCATGGGTTCAACCTTAGTTAGAAAGAGTGTACATTCTGGAAGAAATTAGGGTCATTGAAAAAGGGTTGCGGGTTCCCTGCTGAATGTAGACCCAGGTATATGCCTGAATCACCGGTGCGAAGTTTGGGGGAACACACTCAGTCAAAAGACCCTACTTTTTAAGGAATTGGGCTACTGTGATGCCAAGGACTTTGTTTATACACTTATAAAGCTTAGACCAGGCCGTGTCAACCCAAAGCTTAAAGCTCTGAAGCTTAAACTAAACCTAAGAACCCTAAGCCTCTCCACCTCAAGAACGATATGAACCCTAGAACGGTGTAAGGTTCATATACCATGTGGGTAGTTCTCTAAATTAGGGTCCCTGCCTAGGTCCCCAATATAGTACGGCAGCCTTATAAAAGGGGTTTTAAAGGGGACCCTAATTTAGAGAACTACCCATGTAGAGATTCACAGTATAGGGATTTAGGGCCTTCACTTTTAAGCATCATTTGGTCCCTTAACCTCCCACACCCTGAGAGGAACCAAGCGAGAAAGCAGGCCTCAAACAAAAAGATTGAGCCTAAACCCTAAGCCCCTATAAGCCCTAAGCGCTGACCCCTAAAACCCCAAACCATAAACCGAAAGCACCCTAAACCCAAAGACCGAAACTCTAAGGTTGAACCCATGGGCCACCAGTATGGGCCTCTAACCATTGGATCCTTATACACCTACTATATACCTACTATATACCCTTAAGGGTCCCTAGAAAGGCCTCAGGGTCCATATTTTTAGGGCCCATACTGCTAACCTAAACCCTAAACCGTAAACCCCGAACCCTAAACCCATAGGGTAAGCCATAAAGCCCTAAGCCCAAAGACCGAAACGGCAAGGCCGTTTCCACCTCCAACTTGGAGTTGGACGACGAGTGCGATGAACTTCCTTGCTTCGACCGCGAGAGGCCCCCTTTTTAGGGGGGGGGGGGCCTTGAAGGGTTTCGGGTTTAGGGTTGAGGGTTTAGGGTTCAGGGTTTAGGGTTTATGGTTTGGGGTTGAGGGTTTAGGGTTTAGGGCTTATGGTTTGGGGTTGAGGGTTTAGGGTTTAGGGTTTAGGGTTTCAGGTTTAGGGTTTAGGGTTTCAATCCCTACCTGGGGCCCTGAAGAACCTACCTTTTTAGGGTTCCTTATTTTGATTTCGTTATATACGTCCTTACAAAGGTATGTTATTTGCGGTTAAGGTAAACCCAAAAACCCAAGAACGCTAAACCCAAAGCTCAAACCCTCAACCGTTTGTTTGTTTGGGAAGGGAGGGGCTTTGAAGGGTTTAGGGTTTAGGGTTTAGGGGTTTAGGGTTTAGGGTTTAGGGTTTAGGGTTTAGGGGTTTAGGGTTTAGGTTTTAGGGTTCTAGAAGGGGCTCTTTAAGGGTTTCCAAAAGGGTTTAAGGGCTTGTCTACTTGGAGGATCATGGGACTTAGTAAAGCAGGGTTATAAGTACCTTAATTGGGGTTATAAAGTAACTATAAGTATAGTTACCTTTTTTATAACCCTAGTTACTAAGTCCCATGATCCTTGAAGTACGGGCCCTTTAAGGCTAAGGGTTTCTACAAGGTAGAGAGAGACGAGACTACTCCCTTGGCTCTTGGGAGCCAGGGGCTTTAGATGGGGTTTAGGGTTTTAGGGTTTAGGGGTTTAGGTTTAGGGTTTAGGGTTTAGGGTTTAGGGTTTATGTCTGTAGGGTTTGGAGATTGGTGTCTTCGGGCTTGGGGCTTCAGGGTATCAGGGGGTCGGGCTTTTGAGGTTTGGGGCTTAGACATTTTGGATACGATCAGTCCCTGACTCAGCTGGCGCCCGCCCTCCTGCCGACCTTCGCATGCCTTGTCTTTGATCATGTGCGGGCCTCCGGTTCGGAGTTACTCCCCGGAGACGTCCTAGGAGACCTCGAGAACAGGATTGAGAGTTTGGCTATCATCACCAAAGATGAACTGATGAAGTTGGCGGTGGAGATACTCCCCGCGGAGAAAGTTCGCATCCTTATGAGACATCTCGAAGTTCTCTATGGCTTCTCAGTGGGAGGAGCTCAAGCGCCGCCGCCGCCGCACTCTTGCTGAGGCTTCGCTGGTATGCCTGGCAGCTGCGAGTTTACAGGCGGGAGTTTTCATTCCTCAAGGCCAGAATCCACGCACGTATGATCTCGCTGCGCTTGAAACAGAGACGTACATTACCAGCTACACCTGCCGCCTGCTATCCGATCCATTGAGAACGCACTTTCTTCAGACGATTGATCGCATAAGATCCCAATTGAAGATCGCGTTTTGAACTTAGCGACTTCGGGGGTAGTTCTCCAAATTACGGTCCCTTTTGGGGTCCCTTTTATAAGGGTGCCGTACTTATTGGGGTTTAGGG